GTAGTGGTAGTCGTCGTCGTCGGAGTAGTAGTAGTGGCAGAGTAGCAGTAGTAGTCGTCGTCGTCGTCGTAGAGTGTGCTTGCACCACGGTCCGCAAGGGGGAGCAAAGTGACGCGACATTTTGGTCATTTTGGTTTGACCAAAACGGCACGTCATTTTGCCCCTCCCTCCCCCCCAGAAAGACAAAAAACTACCAAAACGGCCTGTCCATGAACAAGCAAAACGACTTAAACCCTATATAACCCCCTAAACAAGCAAAACGACCAACATAATCAAAACGACAAAAAATGACAAAAATGAACGGAACAATAGCGGGTCTGTATTGCCCCTGCAATGTAGTCGTCGTCGTAGTAGTAGTAGGTGCAAATGTTTCCTCTGTGATGCTAGCTGCTGCTAGTAGCTCCTTCGTCTCACTCCAATCTATGGCTGCTGTCTCCCTTTCTGCTCTGCGCCGCCCGAATACTGTAGGGGCCTCAATAATTAGAATAGGGTTTAGGGGTATATTCGACTATGATTATAACAAGGAAACCCCCAACATAGTATAGGTGATTATTATGACGATTTTGAGTGTCGAGTTGCGGCACAGCTGATATGGTCTCCGAAGCAAGATGTTGACGAGGTTGGCGAGTGCTTCAGCCTGAAAGCCCGATGAGTGTCATGAAAGGATAGCGAGGGTCTGCATAGGTCTGTGCGCACAAGTAGAGGCAAAGCTTAGTCACATACAGAGAGAGAGAGAGAGAGAGAAAGAGAGAGAGAGAGAGAAAGACAGAGAGAGAGAGAGAAAGACAGAGAGAGAGAGAGAGAGACAAAGAGAGAGAGAAAGACAGAGAGAGAGAGAGAGAGCCAGCGAGGGACGCACAAACGCACTCACACAAATACATACACTCACTCACTTACTCACTCACACAACGACACAGAGAGAAAGAAAGAGATTGACTCACACTCACACTGGTACACACATGCGTGCGTACCATACACAGTTGTCCGCGCGCACACGAAACTCAGCACGACCTGTCCTCGGATGCTTCATGCTTGTGATTCTCGCATCCTGCGTGAAGGTCTGCTGAATGACAAAAGCAGCACGAACATGACTGAGAAAGTGACTTGACGAAAGCAATCTCGAATATCGGTATTCAGGAGCCAATTTCAGGTGTCATTGCCAGATGACTATGATGAGGACCCAGGGCCCAGCAGGTATGCCAGAACCCGAGACGAAATGCGGCGCTTGCTTACAGCCTGTTGCAGGCTGCTCCTATACATGAGGTAAACACTATCAAGCCGGAGTTTCCGCACCTTCTCCTAAACGCAAGGTTTTTTGGCTTTGTGGGTTTATGGTTCTGGAGTTCAAGTTTCGGGCCGCTTGAGGAGTAGTAAGGAGGATGCTGAGGAGCTCTTTGGCACCACCCTCAGACCAGACTTTCACCGAGGAAGATCTTTTTGAGAAGCCCGTCCTGAATCGCTATCGCTCCACTACCGAGGCTTCCCAATAATATCCGCTTGGAACGAGCCACACTGGCATCGCCTACAGGTAGACTGATTTGGACGGCCAGTCTGGCCTCTCAGCTGCAGAAGCTCACTTCGCTTTTACCCTTCCCAGATTAACTTTCCCCACCATGGAGGGGGAGTGGATTTTAAAACAGACGATCTCCCAAAACCCTAAACCCTAAACCCTAAACCCAACTCCCTGAAACCCCGACCACTCCGACGCGCCTGCCAGGTCCACAATGTTCAGCTTGGTGCAAGACCTCACGCCCGTGGCCTCGCGGCAAGCAGCACCAGAGCCCCGGAGATGAAGTTTGGAATATATACGGGCTTTCATAATATAGGGGGTTTAGGGTTTAGGGTTTAGGGTTTAGGGTTTAGGGTTTAGGGTTTAGGGGCCTTAGTAATTAGGACAGTGTTTGGGTTTATATTATATTGTAATTATAACAGGGAACCCCCAAAACCCTTTATTAATCAGAATAGGGTTTTGGGGAGGTATATTATTCGATAAATACTCACCCCCAAACTAGTACTGTAGGCTCCTATAGTAGGAAGCACCAGTTGCCAACGTCTACAGCTTGAGAGGGTTTCGGGTGCCAGATGGTGCGAACCTATGGCTGGAAGCGGAAGTCTAGGCTTTCAGAATGCCTGACTTGTCCGGCCCTTCAGCCATAAACCCTAAACCCTACACCCTAAACCCTAAACCGTAGTACAGCTTCCAGTCCATCCGGAAGCGAGGTCCGACGTTTCCCACAACCCAAAAGCCTCAACGGCCCTAAACCCTAAACCCCAAACCCTAAACCCTAAACCCTAAACCGCCCTAAACCCCAAACACAGACTTCAGACCATACCGTTCGCAAGAACCTTATATGATCCCCCAGGCATGTTTACTCTTCCCTCTCCTTGCGCCAGCAGCCCGATGCCCCAACCCTTCGAAAACTTGAAAGGCTGCAGATCCAGAGCTCTCCGAAGGCATCTGTGAAGTGGGAGCCTGGCTCAGCCACCTTTGTATCTCAACAAACTGACGGTAAAGTAGTTCCTTTTTGGGGTTACCTTATAGGATTCTATATATGAACCCCAAAAAGTGAAACTCCTAGCCAACACCACAGAACAGTGTCCAAGGCCATACCGCAAGCATGACGATGTCCCCGTGGCCCACGGAAAAAGGGCACTGCTGATGGTGCGATGGCCTCAGGCGACGCCTCTTCAAATGAAAGCGCAAAAAGCACGTGAGAACCTGGGCGCAGGGAACGACCACCGATCGTAAACATCAAGGAGTTACCCAGGAAGGGACCCAAGATCAGTTCTTTTGACAAGAACCCTAAAGACTCACCACTCCAGTCAGCAACACTCCAATTTTCCTAGCCCATGTCAAGAGCCGCTTAAACCCCCACAAGGGTAATGTAGGGGCCTTCATGCTTAGAATAGGGTTTTGGGGCCCACTATACTATAACTATAATAGGGAACCCCCTAGGTAACCATTTAGGCCCCTTTCTTAAAAGCGCCCGCTGTCCCAGAACGGCGTTGCGGCGAGCGGCGGCTGCTGTAGTCGTTCCACCGCGTCCGAGCATACCGCCTCGTTTGCCAGCAAGCTGAACGGTTTAGGGTTTAGGGTTTAGGGTTTAGGAGATGCAGACATTTTGGGGGCTGATGAACCCTGCAGCCCTGGTATTCATGTACAAAATTTTGCCCCCAAACCCTAGTCTCATAGTATAGAAGTTCTGCCGATCATGCAGGTGTTAGAGGTGCTTGAATTTGTGAGCTCATGTAACAGCCCAGACAGACCTCAAGCCGTTTGAGAGGCTGAAGACTTCTTACGTACATCTGCTGAACCTTTATCAAAGGAAACATGTGGTTGCCTCCTCTCCTCGCCGCGTGCTACAAGTCGAAGCACATCCTGGCAGCGCAAAAAAGGTGCCCACACCGCAAAACCAAAACCGCAAACGTAACCTACCTCCCTGAGAGAGGCCCCCTTTGTTCCGGGACGGGAAGTGCCAGCTTTTAACAGAGCAGGGTGACGGTTATCGATCCGAGACTTGGAAATTGGCTTCGGGGTATATGATAGTAGAACTGTACAAATAGCATGTAGGGGATACTAGTACGGAAGTTCTGAACCTATACCCCGCAAAAACCCTGAACCCGAAAACCCGAAGCCCTAAACCTCAGCGCGAAACCTCAAGCCCTGAACCTCAACCCGACACCCCAAAGACGAAACCCTAAACCCTAAACCCCTAAACCCCAAACCCTAAACCCTAAACCCTAAACCCTGAACCCCCTAAACCTTAAAGCCAACTGCTACAACAGGACCCTGCCTCGCTGCTCCGCACCGGAGCTTCGCGAAGGCCGTGGACGAAGAAGCCGCGGCCCTCAGCTCCAGGGGGCCATTGGAGGATCAGGGGAGTTTGTAAGCAAGGGCTTCTGTAAGGGTTTCGGGTTTAGGGTTTTTTTTAAGGGTTTAGGGTTTAGGGCTTCTGTAAGGGTTTAGGGTTTAGGTGTTTTTTTAAGGGTTTAGGGTTTAGGGTTTTTTTAAGGGTTTAGGGTTTAGGGTTTTTTTAAGGGTTTAGGGTTTAGGGTTTTTTAAGGGTTTAGGGTTTAGGGTTTTTGTAAGGGTTTAGG